CTGCGTGACGACATTCGAGACCATCTTCGCAGCAAGCTTGCTAGCTACGCTGTGCCGACCGTCTTCATCCCCCTCAAGCGTATGCCTCTCAACCCCAATGGCAAGATCGACAAGCCCGCATTGCCCTTCCCTGATACTGCAGAGCTTAGTGCCGCCGCTCCTCGGCGCAAGTCCTCGGTGGCGCAAGCCCTCAGCGAGACGGAGCAGGCCGTGGCCTCAATCTGGGGCCAGCGCATTCCTAATGTGACCGCTCGTATGATTAGCCCCGATGACTCGTTCTTCGATTTGGGAGGTCACAGTATCTTGGCTCAGCAGATGTTCTTCGACGTCCGACGCAAGTGGCGCGAGATTGACGTCAGCATGAATTCTATTTTCCGCAGCCCTACCCTCAGGGGCTTCGCTGCCGAGATCGACCGTCTGCTGAACCTGGAGTCGTTCGCTAGCAACGACGAGCGTAAGACCGCTGCTGCAGAGCCCGCAGCTCCTGCTGAGCTCGATGACGAATACTCGAAGGATGCCCGCAAGTTGGCAGAGACTCTGCCCGCTTCGTTCCCTACTCGCACCGAACCTATTCTTGCATCCGAGCCCACCATTTTCCTCACGGGTGCCACTGGTTTCTTGGGTGCTCATATCCTCCGGGATCTCTTGACCCGCAAGTCACCGCAAGCGAAAGTTGTGACTTTGGTGCGCGGCAAGACAGACGAGCAGGCGCTCGGCCGCATTCGCTCTACTTGCCAGGCGTACGGTTTCTGGGATGAAGCCTGGACTAGCCGGCTTCAGTGCGTGTGCGGTAACCTGGGCGAGCCGCGGTTCGGATTCTCCGACGCTCTTTGGGAGGACCTGACCCAGCGTGTGGATGCTGTCATTCACAACGGTGCTCTGGTCCATTGGGTGTACCCCTACTCCACCCTCAAGCCGGCCAATGTGCTGGGTACCATTGACGCTCTCAAGCTCTGCGCCAGCGGCAAGCCCAAGCAATTCTCCTTCGTCAGTTCGACCAGTACCCTCGACAGCGACCACTATGTCTTGGAATCTGAGCGGATCGTTGCCGAGGGCGGAGCTGGTATTAGCGAGGCGGACGACCTCGAGGGTAGCAGCGTCGGCCTTGGAACCGGCTATGGTCAGAGCAAGTGGGCAGGCGAATATCTCGTGCGGGAAGCTGGTCGCCGCGGTCTCAAGGGTACCGTCGTGCGTCCTGGCTACGTCCTTGGTGACTCCCAGACCGGAACTACCAACACCGACGACTTCCTCATCCGCATGATCAAGGGCTGTATTCAGCTCTCCGCCCGCCCCAACATCAACAATACCGTCAATATGGTGCCCGTTGACCACGTTGCTCGCGTTGTTATTGCGGCCGCCTTCCAGCCCCCTTGCACCCCGATTGGCGTGGCTCAAGTCACTGGTCACCCTCGCCTTCGCTTCAATCAGTTCCTGGGCGCCCTGCAGCTCTACGGCTACGAAGTGCCCCAGATCGATTACGTTCCCTGGTCTAAGGCTTTGGAGCAGTACGTCAATGACGGCCAGCACGATGATCCCGAGTCTCAGCACGCATTGTAAGTCATTACCTATCCCCTTCTCTTTTCTTGAAGCTTTGCACCCGAACAATTACTAATATTGCCTCAGGATGCCTCTCTACCATTTCGTCACCTCCGACCTCCCGTCCAACACCAAGGCTCCTGAACTCGACGACGTCAATGCTGCCGCCTCCTTGCGCGCCGACGCCGCCTGGTCCGGCATTGATGCCTCCGCTGGCGCTGGTGTCACCGAGGAATTGGTCGGTTTGTATGCGGCGTACCTCGTTGCTACCGGCTTCCTTCCTCCGCCCACGGCTGCTGGCGCCCGCCCGCTGCCGACGGCTCAGTTGACGGAGGACCAGAAGAAGGCCCTGGCTAATGTTGGTGGTCGTGGTGGTGCTTCCTAAAAGTCGCACTCACTTCTTGCTGTGTATTAGCGTTTTGTATATTTATGGGGAAGGGAGTATCAATGGTTTCATGAGTCTATGGTACGATATATGTATGGCATGGTACAGTATGCCACGATGTTCTAGGCACTTTGTCTATGATCAAAAGTCCGGGGAGTAGATAATATTAGAGAAGAATTTTCTTACTGTTACATGGACAGTCTAGGCAGCAACAATATTCACTTGCCACAGCCTCATCTCCTTCTGACTCGACGTGACTCATGGTGAGTCTGAGTATCTCAGACAAAGGATATACTGCACCGTACGAAAATACTGTTCTTCTATTTTTAAAGGCTCTTGAGCCGCACTATCATGGTCACCATCAGCGCTATGCTTCCCAACAATGGCACTCGGGAGATTCGCCCAACCACTGCACGTGGTGACCACAACCGTCACTCTGCTGTTTGTCTTTGCATCTTTTTTCCTCCATTACAACTCCAACACGCACCTCAAGCCTTCAATCCTACGCAAAAGAGCTCTTCGCGTGATTATATTCCAGTGCATATCGGCTTCTTACATCTCTGAAATGATCATTATCTCCCGACAGCAGCATGGACTTGATCCAACTCCCGACCATATCTTCGCAGCAGTCACCACTGCGTTGGCATGGGCTACGACCTGCCTCCGCAAGGATATTCTCGTCACAGAAGCTACTGGTCTCAGCGTGATTGCCCTCCTCTTTGGCATTCCTGGTCTGGTTCTCGATGCCATTCACCTGGATCGCCCAGCAGTGCACAGAACCCTGATCGTCCTGGATTCCATCCGATTACTCTTTGTTAGCGGCGTGCTTGCGAACTGTCTATTCCACGCCCGTTCACAAAAGACTCCACTCAAGAGCGAGGAAGAGGAGGATATGATACCGTGTCTGGGCGAAGCCAATGGCCATTCCGCACACAGTCCGATCTCCTACGGCACCACACGGACAGATGGCATCGAATCTTCCTGCAGTGAAGACGCAAGCGATTCAGAGACCTCCTCCGACGAGGACGAGCCCGACGATTCTCGCACCAGCCAGCTCCGCAAGACCGGCAGCTGGATAGCATACATCCAGAACTTCCAGGTCTTCCTCCCGTTCCTGATCCCCCGGAAGGATCGCAAGGTGCAGGCCTGCCTCCTCGTCTGCGTCCTCTGCCTCATCGCCGACCGCGGGCTGAACGTCCTGGTGCCGCGCCAGCTGGGCATTGTCGCGGACAAGCTCTTCGCCCGGGAGTCGCCGTCCACGGAGCTGGGCGTCTACATCGCGCTCAACCTCCTGCACGGCCAGTCGGGCGTAGAGATGATCCTCTCCCTCGCGAAGATCCCAATCAAGCAGTTCTCCTACCGCCAACTAACAACCACGGCGTTCGGCCACGTCATGGACCTAGGCATGGACTTCCACTCGGACCGCGACTCGGCCGAGGTGATGAAAGCGATGGAGCAAGGCGAGGCGCTGACCAACCTCGTCGAGGTGGCGCTGCTCGAGATCGCGCCCGCCATCCTCGACACGGGCGTGGCATTCGTCTTCCTGTACCGCAAGTTTACCTCCACCGCGGCGCTGAGCATGCTCATCGCGACGCTGGCCTTCACGACCGTCGAAGTCATCACCGCCGACTGGAACGTCGCCAACCGGCGGCGACAGACCCGCGCCGAGCGCGCCGAGGCGCGCGTCCTGCACCAGGCCATCCAGGGCTGGCCGACGGTCTTCATCTTCAACATGTTCGACCACGAGCGGGCGCGCTTCGGGGCCGCCGTCGACCGCCATCTGCAGGCCACGCGCGCCTGGTCGCAGCGCGACGCCTACACCACCGCGCTGACGGAGGCCTTCTTCCCGGCGACCTTCGCCCTGCTAGCGACCCTGGTCGCGCGCGAGGTGCAGGCCGGCCGCGCCTCGCCCGGCGACTTCGTGTTCCTGGTGCAGTACTGGGACTCGCTGATCTGGCCCATCAAGTACCTCTCCAAGGACTACCGGTGGCTTGTCGCGGAGCTCGTCGGCGCCGAGCGGCTCCTCGACCTCCTCCGCACCAAACCCACCGTCACCGACGCGCCGGACGCCCTCGCCCTCGACCCGTCGACCGTCGAAGGCCGCATCGAGTTCAACAACGTCACCTTCGCCTACGCCACCGACAAACACCACCTCCCCACCCTGCAGAACATAACCCTCACCGCATCCCCGGGTCAAACCATCGCCCTCGTCGGCGCCACCGGCGCCGGCAAATCCAGCCTCACGAAACTCCTCCTGCGCGCCTACGACCTGCCCCAAACACCCACAGCGGGAACCATCACCCTTGACGCCCACGACATCCGCTCCCTCACGCAATCCTCTCTCCGGCAAACCATAGGCGTCGTCCCCCAGAGCCCTCTGCTCTTCAACACCTCCATCCTCGACAACCTCCGGTACGCGCGGCCTTCCGCTAGTGCGGCCGAGATCCACGCCGCGTGTCGCAGCGCCGCCATCCACGAGAAGATCCTCTCCTTCCCCAAGGGCTATGCCACCAAGGTCGGGGAGCAGGGGGTCAAGCTGTCCGGCGGGGAGGTGCAGCGGTTGGCGATCGCGAGGGTGCTCCTGAAGAATCCCGCTGTACTAGTGCTGGATGAGGCGACGAGTGCGGTGGATACGGAGACGGAGTGGGTGGTGCAGCGGGCTTTGTTTGGTTCGCACGCTCCGGAGGACATAGGGGGTGGATGTGGAGGCAAGGGTATGGGGATGAGGAAGAAGAGGAAGCGCACGACGCTTGTGATTGCGCATCGGCTTTCGACGGTGGTGCGGGCGGATTTGATCGTGGTGTTGCATGAGGGGAGGATTGTGGAGAGGGGGACGCATGAGGGGTTGTTGAAGGAGCGGGGGAGGTATTTTGGGCTTTGGGAGAGGCAGTTGATGGGCGAGGAGAAGGAGATGCCTTTGGTGGATATAGATGGGAGTTCGTTACCTTAAATTGGGGCTGTTTTGGCGTTATCTCGGTCGGATGCTTTGAGATACCACTTTTACTGTTATAGAGTTCAATTACGGTCATTCACCGAATCATAAATCATGCATAATCATCAGATTAAACGCAAACTATCTAGCTACCGCAAAACAATCAAGGCGAAAGACGCAGAAAAGCAAATAAAGCGCAAAACCATTCTTCATGTCTCGATCCGCAGGCTGCGACCCATCTTCCCCTCGACATCATGGCTGTGGTACACACAGCTCAACAGCACCAGTCTAGTTGGTGTACCAGGTGGAACCGCCAGTGCAAGTCCCCTGGAAGGTGAAGGAAGAGTTGGTTTGCACGATACGGGCAATCGGCTTCTCCGCCTGGTCGGTGGGGTAGAAGTCGATGATGAATTTCTGTGTCAGTCGGACTGTCAGCAAAAGTCCTCTCCCTGATGTGTATGGTTTATACTCACGTTCGCATCCATGTAGACCTTGATGCTCTGGTTTCCTTGAAGGGTTTGCTGGTCGTCATAGTAGACGGTTGCGCTAATCATTGTGAGACGTGATGTTCAGATTCTCAAGACAGTACAAATGTGACGGGGCCTGTCCATTGCACAAGAGAATCAATGCTGGTGGTACTCACTTGATGTAAGCATGGTTCACCCGGAAGAACCCCGCCACCTCGCCCCGGACCGACTGCCCCATGCTCTGGGAGGTCAGATCGAAGCTCAAGTCGACCCGGCTGATGTCGACTTTGCCCCGGATCCGGTCGTGGTAGTTCCAGTGGTAGCAGGAGCACTCATGCGCGTCCCGCAGCGAGGCCTCCAGCACCTGACGGCCCAGGGGCCGGCTGACCTCCTGCTCGAAGGCCTTCTTGATCTGGGTCTCTGAAACGTCGTGGCCTGCGGAGCCACTGATCGTGACGCGGCGGAAGAGGGCCAGGAGCTCGTCGTCGGCGAGGCCGAGCTGGGGGGCTTGGAGAGCCATCATCGCGGGTGCAGGAGCAGGAGTAGAGCGGGTTACTGCGGTGGCCATCTTGCTTGAGTGAGTTGGGACTCTGGTTTAGTGTTGAGGTAATGAGTAGGAAGAGCTTGTTGTTCTGAAGGTTGGATGGTGGTGCTGATGATGAAAGACGTCTAGAGAGGGCAATGTTCGTCCCTTATATAGACATTTGAGGTGATCAGAACACAGGAGATAGTTTTCGAGTCCTGGTCTTGACCGGAATGCCAGGAGGATGGTCGATTGGTGACATGGTGTCGCACCTCGAAGCAATTCACATTTTGAGTCCAATGGTTTTGACGACGAGTTGCTACAAACTGCTATCTGCGCGGCTTTCACACTGCAGCTTCATGTTGCAAACTCGTAAGTCGCGGTGTTAGGCACAAATTCACACTCTTTGAAGGCCTGCTTCTCCTAGCACGTTAGCTTTACATTGCGCGTTCTCCAGCTAGCCACAAAGCTGACCAGACATGGAACACGATTGCGTCGAGGCATCTATACGCTTTTCATTCGGTAATTGGCAGGCACGAAGAGCATTGACGGTTGGTGTGTATGTTGACCATAAATCCAATCACTTGTCGCTATTGAAGATCATTCGTGGAGAACTCTGTTTGCATACGAATGAGGTGTGTGTTTGACACTTAAAAAGCTGCAACTGCTGACTCTACAAGGCCTCCACCTGTTTGGCATCTGCGCCTAGTATGAGACTGGGCAGCGAGAGAATAGTTCATGAGGTAAGTAAGTTCTACCTCAATGCAGCCGGCCAACGGCACAAATGTCAATGAAGTGGCTTATCCATAGCTATCAATGCTCAATGTGATGAACGGGCATGGAACTAGCATGGTGTTGAGTAGAAACAAACCTCGACAGACACAATTAACGGCATGGTGAAATGCAGGCTGGATTGTACACAAGCACGTATGGAAGATGATTTTTTGCGGTGGCACGCAATGCTACGGCGTAAGTCTGTCCCGGTCGATGTGAGCAAGATTGCCATGCACTTCTCAGCTTCACTGAGACCAAGCCAAAGTGCGAATTTCTCGATACTCGGTGATTAGGCTGCGGTTCGCATTCTCCGGAGCAGTGACCGAGGCGGAGCGGGGATATGCACAACACGACAGGGATAAGGCGTTCCCTGCAGGATGTCTGCAGACGCTGGCTGAGGAACCCGTTGGGTTCAACTAATGAGCAGCTGAGTCCGCTGCATTCAGGCCCAGCTTGCGCATGATCATGGATCGTTTAGGACGAACCGTTCGTCGTGTTGGTCCTGCCGTGGCAGCGTGGCAATTGTTCCAGTGACAGCTGGCGTTGACGGCCTGGATTTCAGCCAGCCTCTTGATCATCCCGAGCACTGACACGACCTTTAGGTTTGCTGTGCAGGGTAGTGGGTTGTGTCACCACCCACTCCACGTGCGGATGGCTACACAATATCGTAAGTCATGGTTCTTAGCACAGGTGGTGACTGGTCTTGTCGGTATCCTCTCGGAGGGCTCTATGATCTGGAAGTCCGGGGCAAGCGACCACGTCAGCAGCGCCATCCGCTCGTAGCTTTTCTTTGGCGGCTGTCAAAGTGGTTCATTGCTTTTTCTCAAGGTAGCGAGGAGCCTGTTAGCAAACAGAAAAGCTCTTGCTACGGTGAGGATAGGTATCTGTTGTTGCGCGCAGACATTGCTGGAGTGGACAAACAAGACATGCCCGAGGAGAAACTCGAAGACAATCAAGCATGACAAATTGGGATGGGAGGTGTTTGCAAAAGGGAGAGAAAGAGAGATGAAGATGAGGAAGAGGCAGAGGAAGAGGGAGAGAAGATGGAGCTATGAGGGGAGGAGGAAGACGAGGTCACGGGACTCTGTACCTTCTTCTTTTTTCTTATTCAACTTCTTCTACTAGCATCAACGATCTACTTGATTCTCTCCGCGATCTACAAACACGTCCCGAGACGCATTTCCGACATGCCCCAAGCCTCTGCCAAGCCCGAGGGAGTCGCCGGCAATAAGTCGGCTGAAGAACATCGCCGCTTCAGGGTTTCGGCAGATCGGAGTGGAGAGAGGAGAGAGGCGAGAGGATACGAGTCGCGGAGTACGAGCTCAGAGCTCCTATTCCGGACTATACCCGATTGACTAGAAACCCCCTCCGCGGTCCCCACTATGATTCATGTTCTTCTCCTCTGGTCTCCTATCTCTATCTCTTGTCACTTTCAAGAGCATCTCCGCTGAAAAGTATCGTTTTTAATCACTTGTGTAGGTGCCTGTGCAGCTTCGACGAGATATCCGCCTGTTCCGGTGCTAACCGCCATCTACTAGAACCAACTGCTCAACCACAATACATCATGGCTTCTGATATGGAATATGTTCGGTATACCGTCACCGTAGACTCTTGATTTGAAGCACATTTCCCCTGCTGATAACATGAAAAATGCAGTCTTGGCAACTCCGGCCTCAAGATCTCCAAGATCATCCTGGGTACCATGTCCTACGGCACCAGACAATGGCAGGACTGGGTACTGGATGAGGAGGAAGCCCTCCCCTTGATCGAGCACGCCTACAAGCGCGGAATCAACACTTGGGATACGGTTTTTCCCCAAATTCTCCGCATTCTGATGGAATTCCCGATCACCCAGCTGACAGCCAGATCAGGCCGACGTCTATTCCCACGGTCGCTCGGAGGAGATCATCGGCAAGGCGCTGAAGCAATTCAACATCCCGCGCGACCGGGTCGTTATTATGACCAAGTGCTTCTTCGGCGTGGACGACGAAGGGGGCATGCCTCCCATTTCCGCCTGCGGCCGGAACGACGCCGGATTCGTCAACCGCGTTGGCCTGTCTCGCAAGCACATCTTCGATGCTGTGGACGCCAGTGTCCAGAGACTTGGCACCTATATCGACGTGCTGCAGATCCACCGGCTGGATCGCGACACGCCCCGCGAGGAGATCATGCGGGCGCTCAACGATGTGGTCGAGAGTGGGAAAGTGAGATATATCGGTGCCAGTACGGTAAGCACGCCCATAAAAACAAGAAAACACACTGTCCAATGATGCTCTTCACGTTCATCACACCCTTATACTAACGGTTTATCACCAAGATGGCCGCCTGGGAATTCCAGACCCTGCAGAACATCGCCGCCCGCAACGGCTGGCATCAGTTCATCTCCATGCAGAACTTCCACAACCTGCTGGCCCGCGAGGAAGAGCGAGAAATGATCCCCTACTGCCAGGACGCGGGCGTGGGCCTGATCCCCTGGTCGCCCATGGCGCGGGGCGTGCTGGCGCGGCCCTGGGGCTCGCGCTCGACGGTGCGCGAGTCGACCGACGGCGCCCTCAAGATGCTGATCCGCAGCCGCGAGACGGAGGCCGACAAGGCGATCGTGGATCGCGTCGAGGAGCTCGCCCAGAAGAAGGGCGTGAGCATGGCGCAGATCGCCATCGCCTGGTCCCTGAGCCACCCGAAGGAGAACCCGATTCTGGGCCTCAGCAGCAAGGAGCGCATCGACGAGGCCGTTGCGGCCATCAAGGTGCAGTTGACCGCCGAGGAGATCAAATATCTGGAAGAACCGTATGTCCCTCGGGCAGTGTCGAGCTTGGAGCGGTGATTTCGAGGCGCGCTAGAATTGGTGTAGTGCTTTGGTTCTGTCAATAGAGATAGTTCCTAAATGAAAGCTCCAACTTTGCAACCTTTTTGCGCGAGGGACACAAGCCCACCGAACTAGACTATGATACCATCCTACAAAGTCAACCTTAAATTATTACGTCGCCATGTACATCGCGTGAGACTATCACTACTGGAGGTGAGGCAATCAGAACGAATATGATATAAGTATATGCCATTGATAATCGTGGTATTCATTCGCGGAAGGGCAAGGGCTAAAGTGAGCTGAGATAGATAGGGTTTGAACGGATGAAATCCGTCACACAAATAAGATATCAAGATATCAGACAATCGTACAGGGACCAAGAACAATAAACAAGGTTAGCTTGGTCCCATAAAAAATAAATGTTATCGACAGTAACGCTCCAGCTCCTGGCTCTTATGTTACGAAGACAATATTCTGCAATGGTCGATGATATTATGACATAGCACAAGGGAAAAAAAAAAGATATAGGGGTATTGCTCAACCTCTGCAAGAGGGAGGTGAAATGTATGGGATTGAAGATGGCGCCTCGCTGTACTGGGTTTTTCTGGCTAACATGGCCAACACCAGGTGGGACAAGGGGATGGGAGTGGAGGTGTGTGGTCAATGAGGTCATATCAGAAGCACCAGGCTTCTGTTTCTCTGTCGTGGGACGGATGGATTTCAATGTGAATGGGCACTTTTGCGGATGATGAAGTCGAATAGACTGCTGAGTCGATGTCGACGTTTGCCCTTGGGTGGAGTCGGCTCGACGGATTTGGTGTTCGATGGAGACGCATTCCCGTTTGCTCGGTCCGGCTGTGGTGGTAATTGTTGTTGTTGGGACTGCGGGCGAGGGTTTCTTGTACCTTGCGACCGGTCGATGTCCTTGTCTGGCGCTTGCTTCGAGACCTGCGCCTCGGACTTTCTCCGGTGGGACCAGCGTCTGCGTGTGCTCAAATCTTGTCGAGCCGGGGTGGGCGTAGCGTTGGTATCCGCGTCATGGACGGGCTCACGAGTGCTGGAAAGCGTGCTGTGGCGGTTGAGGCGGCCGAGGGTGCCAGAGGCACGTCGGTTGGTCCGCTCAATGAATGCTGCTCCGGTTGAGTTGGAACGTTTCGATAGACGCCCGAGCGTTGATTGGTCGGAAATTGTGTTGGGGGGTGATGACATGCAGCTGGATGTGGACATGCGGTGTTGTCTGCGGTTCGTGGCGGCGGGGCCTGTCGGATTGCTGACCTCTTCTTCCAAGGACCGATCGGCTTCAGCCCTAACGGCTGTCGGGGAGCTCTGTCGTGACGGACAGCGGGATCTGGGGTTGAGCGTCGAAGCGGCGTCGTTGTAGCTGAAGGTATGCGACCAGCCCTCTCGGAAGGCCACCCAGAAGCTAGTAACAATAATCAACATGCGTAGGTCGTCGTCAACAGGCATCCTTCCGCTCAATGGCTCGTCCATCTCCGAGAGGTCGCTAATCACCGACATGGCAGAAGTAGGGGAAGCGATCCCCGAGGTGGCCGGTATTGAGTACTCGTGGAATACCTCCAAATGGTTCCGGGTCATCGTGGCGAGGACAGGGTGACGGCGGGTGTTGGGGTTGATCACGCTGAATGTGAAGCGCTTGCTGTCTTCCTGCAGGCCAAAATCTGGGGGTGCCGATACACGACGGTTCTTGCTTCCCCGCAGCACCCATCGCAGGACCTGGATACCTTCGTCGGTCTGGGCCACGAACTCGTAGGAGCCATTGGCCAAAGGTGTCGCCTCCCAAACTGGTCCATAACTAAGGCAGATCTCCGCTTTGCCTTTCGATAGTGCATCATCCGTCAACAGCTGGCATATCGTTGCGACAACTTCACGGTGCTCTCCGTTTTCTTCATCGGAGCTCAGATGCCTGTCGGCAAAATCGCCTTGGCTCTGTTCAAAGCGATCGCCGGTGACGACGATAAGGTCGTTGGGACCAAGCCCTTTTTTGCCGCGAAAGATGGTTGGGAATTTGCGGGCCAGTCTAGGCAGAAACACACTCGACGGGAGGACGTCCAAAATGGGTAAGGGACGCGGGGTTTGTGACACCTGTTGGAGCTGTAAGAGGAGCTTGGGTCGGAGTTTCAGTCGCCTGTGACGTGCGTGGGATGCGGGATGCGCTAATTGGTATGACGTTTTAGGTCGCGACGATGGTTTCCTAGTCGAATATGAGCGAGCGATCCTCGAGGAAGCTAGAGTCGGCCCGACGGTCGAATGCTCGTCATCGCTCGACAATAATATCTGGTCTACTGCAGGTGGCCTCGACATTGCACGTGGTTGTTCTTGCAGCGGCGGCTTTTCTGTTTCTGTCACTTTGCGCCGGCCGTACAAGCTTCCCAGACCCCAGGTTGGTAGCGTCGCGAAGGATACAGGCGGCGAGGAATGGCGCGACGAGGTCTGGAGATCGGATTGGGGACCAAGGACGTCGCTGTCATGAGCTGCTGCTGCATCCGCGGTCAATCCAAGGTTGAATAGCATTTCTTTTCTGGGCTTCAACCACGCCTATCGGTGCTCCGGACTACCATTGACCAGTAGTAGTACGGCGACAGAGGTGGAAGCGCGCCTATAGTTGGGTGATCGCGGACAATAGGTTGTTCTCGTTAAGAGCTAAATGTCGAAGCTTCGTTCAATTCAAAATCGAAGATGGTGAGATGGTAGGAAATGGAGAAAGGAAAGTGCATCAGCAAAGAGCTGAATGAGAATGAGGATAAGAAAGTGATGATTGTTGGCCGTGGCCTGCACGACAATGAACAGCTCGGTAGGTAGCAAGCGAGGCTGAGGCGGAGGCTGTGAAATCGGGTGGGGAAAGGGGAAAGAAAAGGAAAGGAGTGAGGTCAGAAGTGAGAGAGGGGAGAGAATCAAAGAATAGGAGAAGGAACGAAGAGTCCCGGAAAAGTTCAGGTCGGACAAACGTGGAGAAATCTATAGATCGTGGGACGAAGGAGGCAAAGGATGAGAATGGGCGAGAGAGTGGGTATGGGTAACAAGTATAAGGAGGAAGAGGAGGGAGGAAAACGAAGAAATACGGGTGTAAGGATGGATTGTCAAGTATACGTAGTAGTGCTGCGTAGTGCTGCTGCTGCTGCTGCGTAGTGATGGGGGGGGAAGCTTTTCAGCCTTCAGCCTTTTTGCTAATTCAGCCTTTCGTTTGCTCGGGCAAGGGACGGTCGGCCTTAATAGTTAGAATAAGATCCCACTAGAATTGTCCACCTGGATGACTGCTGCATGTCAGACGAAGGAGATCGTGGATCAATAATGGAAGGAAGTGGTCAGTGGTCAGGATGAAGCACCGGAGGTTAAAGGAAAGGGTCAGTGTCATTCGGTAATTAATATAAGTATCATAGAAGTCTCATGAGGGGGGAACCTCAGAGAAGGGGGGAAAAAAAAAGAGAAAAAAAAAAGAAAAAAGAAATTTGATGATGGGCCAACAACGAGCCAAAGTAATGATCATTAATCATGGATCCAGTTGACTGGATTTATTCAGTTTTCCCCGATCTATCAGGATGATTTTTAGGTTCAAGGAACAAATCATACTGCTGCATTTATGGAGCTGTGAAGCGACCAGACTAGACGGCGATCTTCGGCACCCACACTTAACCACTATCCCTCTGAACTTGGTAGACGGCTCGTATCAATTTTTCAACATTTCAGCCCGTTACGGAGCCCTTCCTCCGGTAGCTATGGGGCACAATGAGTTATGCATGGGGCGAAGACACAAGGAGGGGCAGGTAGGTTTAAGGTATGTACAGTACAGAAGTAGTCAGTAGTAGTTAGTTAGCAGTCTAGCAGATGACTACAGTACTGTACAGTAAGTAAGTAAGTCACAGCAGTCCGTACAGGCAAATAACTAAGTTACTAGGTACTAAACAACTGAATAACTCCGCTGGCGTTCGGAGGTGGAGGAGGTGCAGCAACTTCCGTCGTCCGTAACTCTGGGCGGAAGAACGGATTTTGCAAGACCTTCTCCGTCACGGAAGCCGGAAACGCCGACTTGCCGTCTTCTGTTTCGGAGCCTCGGCCTCGCAACTATCCATGGTTTATGTCAGAATTCGACTGCCCCAGAAGCATAAGGCTGAATTTGCTTGTTTACTGTTTCTCGGTTTCGACGACGAGCCCGGCTGACAGATCATCGCCAGGAATCACCTAGATGATACCATACAATTAGAGTAATTCACTCTTAAACTCTTACTGAGTGTCCCCACTGATATCCTATGACAAATCTGGACAACATTTGACTAATTACCTGAAGGATTGCAAAGTTTGGATAGTTAGTCATTTTAACTGACTCATTGTAATCCCGCATAACTACTACTACTCGAGAAAACTCGTGAGAGAAAATTAGCTGCCCGCCTGCCACAGTGCCAATTTCCAACTGCCAACTGCCAACCGACTCTGACTGAGTTCGTTTTCTTGGCTGGGCCACAGTGCTTGGCGTTGCACTTAACCACAATGAGGGTCTAGTCTCCTTCCTAGCGGAAACTTCGATGGCGAATTTCTTTATTTCGCGCAAATTTTACTGTGCAGTCTCGTGGATCTGGCCGGAAAGTCGGTCTGTCCAAGCAATTGACTGGCCAGTACCTGAGTGAGTATAGATAGATAGCTTCTGATGATCAGCTATTTTGTAGCAGTCAGTCCACGGGGCAACCCGAGCTAATCTCCTCGAGTATCACTTCAAAGTCACGGCGACAGATGGGCCCATCGTATTTCTTTTCAATGGATAAAGGTGGCCACTGGTCGGTACAACAAGCATTCCGCGTGATCAAACAGTGGGGCTTGAGCTCAGGAGGATCTTGAACAGAGGTTGCATCAGGGCGATATATCCAGCAGAAATTGAAACAGAGGTACAGTAGTGCATGCACATTTACAAAGTGGTGTATCGAATACTGGCTGAGTATATCATGCATTGAGCTCCTCATCATGAGAACCTATGGCATTGGCACGGAAAAGTTTTTGCATCCAATGACCTTCAAAACATGCTTGCTTTAGTTTCAACATAATGATTCAGGTTGACTCAGGTTGGATGAGTACCTAGGTATGGCCGTTGACCTTCCCTATCGAAGATGCCCTTGACGTGCTGCTTGCGTTACCGGAGATCCGAACAACAGAACACTCCAGATGAGAGGGTTGACCCAGTTGATCCGGTAGGGCTGACTTCCAAGTTGTCTGAGCCTCCGAGGGGGGGGAGGATTCATTGGAGGAGGGAGTTCTCACTTTCAAAAACTTTCTCCGCGATCCGGAGAACCTTGTCCTCTGACATCATCATTATCATAAATGGATATGATACTTAGTACACACCATGTACTGTAGTCTGACGAGTAAATTGGTATAAACCCCATCCCCGCTTGTCTATTTCTTGGATGTACTACTCAGTACTACGTATGTACTACTATGTATCAGTAAACTACTAAATTATTACACTAGATCGTACTCATATCACTGCGATGGAAAGGGACGCCACCCTCGCCATCAGGATGCAAGGCATTACGTATTTGTGCACCGCCATATGCTGAATAAGACATGGCTATGCTTGCCGAACTTTCCGTTCCGTTTAGCCACGGCTTGGCTCAACGCGTCTTTAATCATCCCTCCATGTTCACTTCTTCATAACTAATACATACTTACCTACCACCTCGACTTACCTCGGTTACTTGCCATCGTCCCATGATTAGAAGGTAGTGTGAAGTCCTGCGTTAGACCATCACACAGGATTCATCGCGTTATCCTCGATCGAGGCCACAATGACAGCCATCTAGAGAGGCACATAGAACATCGCGTGGATAGGGAAGACCAAAGAGTGCATGCATAGTTTGGATATGCTGATGCCTATGGATAATATGAGTTCATCAACTTACGCAGGCTCGCGAGCGGCGAATCGCCCCAGCATCCTGGATCCCGCCCGTCCTATTAGAGGCTTGACAATCGCTTTCTGTCTATGGAAGGTGCTGATATTCCTGGTCATCGTCTCGTGCCCAGGACTGGGCTACGATACCTCCACAAGCCACCTTTATGAGTACCACGATACCAACAGCTCTGATGTCATGTCAGAGGACATCGAAGATCTACTTCTCACCGTTCCACGAAAGTTCGTCCGGTGGGACTCTATCTACTTCTTGCATATAGCTCAGCAGGGGTATGTCTTCGAGCAAGAGTGGGCATTTGGCTATGGCTACACTCGAGCCTTAGCTTACCTGACTTCCGGTAAAAAAAGCTTCTTTTCTTTAAGCAAACCACTGGTGGCCACTAATGCCGATGTAGTTCTGCAAACCCTCACCGGCTTGGGAGGAGGGGTTATAATAGCGATTGAGGCGATCCTACTCTCTCACGTCGCACACTACCTCTCCGTTCTTGCGCTCTATAGACTGTCCGTTAATGTATTTGGAAACGACAGTACCACGCAACGACTCATCTGCCTGCTGTCCTCAGCTTTACATATAATCTGCCCCGCCGGAGCATTTCTTTCGGCTCCATATGGAGAGTCACTGTTCTCGTTCCTGAACATAACTGGTTTCTATCTCTACTCTTCCGCTTACTTGGATAACAAGAATGGCAAGCGTCTGTCCGGCGATTTCAAAACGCTTTTGTCCGCTGTTCTGTTCTCTGCAGCAACGACTGTTCGCAGCAATGGTATCTTAAGCGGGATATTGTTCGCCTATGACGCTTTCCTCCAGCTTCGACGGGTCGTGTCACAGAGTCTGTCATTGAACGCCTGTGCGCACCTGCTGGTTGCGATCGTGAGCGGTTGTATCATTGCTCTGGGGCTCATTCTCCCTCAGTATATCGCTCACACAGCATACTGTGGGGATGACCCTAATTCCCGGCCATGGTGCGAATGGTACGTTCCGAGTATATATGGTTGGGTGCAAAGCCATTATTGGTATGTGATTTCCTAGGTTTGAGCTGCACCAAATACACTAATCACAGGAACAGGAATGTGGGTTTCCTTCGGTATTGGAGTCTCTCGAACCTTCCACTATTTGTTCTAGCGATGCCCATGCTGGCTATACTCTTTCGCTCGTCTTTCTGGGCACTTGACATGGCTGTCCCTTTTATTTATCCAAGGGCTCTCAGTGGGATTGATCACGCTTCATCGTCAGCTACCACCGCCTCATTGCTCCTACGACTGGCTGCGCCTCAGGGAATCTTGGCTTTACTGGCCCTCACCAGCTATCACGTCCAGATCATCAATCGCATAGCTTCCGGTTATCCACTGTGGTATTGGTACCTTGCGTACTTGGTTTCTGGAAATTGGGGCCAAATCCCTCCTTCAATTCAACACAGCCGTACGTTCACAAGTGCGGTGCAGGGCATGGTGGCATATGCTTTGGTGCAGGCCACATTATTTGGGTCATTTTTACCACCAGCCTGAGGTAGCGATCCAAGCTAAGAAGAAGCCACCACATTCTAAATAAATGCATTTTCTAATTCCGCGGCCGATCATATAAAGCTGTCAAACTTTGTATACGAATCATTGTCAAATG